TTCTCCTACGGGTGCGGTTATTTAATTTCTTAGTGAAAGGTTTAGTAAACGAGTTTGAAAATGTCCCGAGACCATTTTTCCTTATGAGGAAAATTGTATTTAACACAAATTTAAAGTAAAGAATACCTTTGAATGCTTTTGATTTATAGATTTTGTGAAATTGAAAAACATCTTGATAGATTTACATTTACCTGAGCACATGAGTTAAAAGGAAAAACAACGACGAGGATGGGATTCGAACCCACGCGGGGAGACCCCAATGGATTAGCAGTCCATCGCCTTAACCACTCGGCCACCTCGTCAACTCTTGCTTATTATTTTGCGTCTTCCAAAAAAAAAAAAAAAAAGTCAAACTACTGAATTTTTACCATACTACAATTATATGTAACTGTTATTATTTTCCAGTTGGCTGTACAATTTTGTCACTCGGGTTCTTCACCACTTGCAAGCGTTTCTAAACCAAGCTCACAAGTCTAAAGTTCAGCGCATGAAGACGTACACAGATATCCAAGATCGTCTGACAAAACTGAAAAAGGAAGCTGACCAATATTTTGAAGAATTGAAGGCAGAGATTGAAAGTATGTCAGCTTGCGTAGAATTTTAAAAGCGAAATGTTGTTAATGGTATTAATGTTGACCATCAACCAGCTCTGTCCGTTTATTTATTTAGATTATGAAAAAGAAAATGCAAGTTATAAATGTTTTGTAGAATGTTGGAAAAAGTGATTTGTCTAATTTTCTGCCTTCTTAATTTTGATATTTCAGGCAGGTTTGAGTCTGCTCTGGTTACTCTAAAGCAATATTTAATGAAGCCCGAAATTAGAGAACGAATTACAAAATGGACCGAACCGCAGCAGCCCAAGGGTCACAAGTGGGCAGACGTGGACACAGCCATCCGCGAACGTGTGGTCGAAAGAATCACACACTTACTAGAAAAATGGGAAGACGAGCATAAGTTTTTCAAGAAGCTTCGACCAGAACTGACAGAAAAGTTCACCAGCCAGTTCAGAGGTATTGAAAGACAACTGACCGGTATTGAAAATATGATTGCGCGCCATGATACTCGCTTGAGCACAACTTCCCATAAAGACCCAGGCGAACCTGTGAATGAGGAAGAAGGGTTCTTTCCTTACGATCTGTCCCTTAAACTCAAACATAAAATCATTCTCGGGGTAGCTGCGCCAATTTTAGTCCCTGTCGCAGTGGCCGGTGCAATCATAGCGCTGCCCATTTTGGGCGGGCTAAAAGTCAGGCAGATGATCGATGCGCGACTTGCGGAAGAAAAACTGAAGAAGTACAAAAACGACCCTATAAACTTCCTAAGAAAACAGTCGGAAAAGGTTTTGGATGAATTTGTGAAAAAAAGTAAGGCTCTTGAAAAATACGTCCGCAGTGAGCTTAGCCAGGCGTACGTCTGCTTGCAACAGCTTCAGGAGGCGGTGCCTCGCCAAATTAAAGCAGACGAGGCTCAAATCTTGTCCCTAAAAGACGATCAAAGAGAGGCTTCCGATTATCTCCGTTTTTATGACCCTCTCAACGAAGTGTTCGTCTCCTTCAAAAAGAGGCTTTTGTATTTCAAAACTATAGCAATCAGACGCGAACTCAAGGACTACGAATTCGATGATATCGAAATCCCTAAAACCCCGGAGATAATATGTGATAGTCTGTATTGTACGATATTCAAGGTTGTGCTACGGAAGCCTATCGGTTCACTACAGACCGGGTCTACGGTGTGTCTTAGGAAGTGTCATGTCCCCATCTCACACCAGACGATACACGATCATCTTGGAGTTGAAGAAGCTTACCAGTAAGTGTCAATTGTATTTCACATAAAACAATCTTTAAAATGTAAGAATGATAATAATAATGAACAAGAAAATGAAAAAAGTCAACCTGTTGTCTTTTTCAATCCTGGGTCCGATATTGAGAACGGTGACTCATTATATTTTTTATTTCTAAATTTCTAGATAACACACTTCATTTTAATTAAAAATCTATGCTAGGGGAAATATAAGAATATATATATATGAAAGCTGAAATTGCATTTTGGTGTTTTACAGGTATCAGCACCATGAAAATCTCGTGAAGTTTTACGGATCCACGCGAGATTTCGACAATGTGTATTTTATCCTGGAGCCTCTGCAATGCAGTCTTCGTTGTTATCTTCAAGAAACCCCAACCGTCGACTGGGACAAGACGGACGAAGAGAAGTATATGGTGTTCCTTGAAATAATGCGCCAAGTAGTGAATGGGCTGGAGTACCTTCACTCCCGGAGTATGCAGTGGGTCCATTATGATTTATCTTTGGACACTGTAGCGGTAAGAATTTTAAACATTCAGATTTTTTTTCATTCGCGAAATTTTAAATTTACAGTGTATATCGATTTTAAAAGTATGTTAGTCTTTCGGTCTGTTCACTAGACATTAGTCACGACATTCTTCACTAGGTGTCACTGCTGATAAATTTTCACGAAGAATATGTAATCCTGTATAGATGAGTTTTCATTATATTATATTATATTATATTATACAAAAGTTCACAATCCCCAACCCATTATTTCTTTAAAAAGACCCCTTCAGGTTCAATGAGGCCAAGTACATTTCATATACACTACATGGTGTTTCCATAAATTGAGATGACATTAAATATCAGTGCCTTTTAGGCCTTCATGTGTTGCAACTTTCAACCTATAAAAACCGAAGTAAATATGCCACCAACTTGGACACACTCACTTATTTGTTTTAGATGGATTACAAAGACACAGTAAAATTGACCAACATTGGCCACCGACGGATGCTAAAGATAGATCCCACGGAGCCGAGGGAGAATATCCTCCGTTACTCCCACCTCCCGCACGAGGTCCTTGCCGACCCTCCCACCACCTATACTCTGACCTCCGACATGTACAGCGTGGGGATCATGATGTGGGAAATGTGGACTGGAAAGAGAGCCTTCGAAGATGAAATAACTGCTAACCCAACCAAGTTTCAGACCATGTCAGACTTCATACAGTTCTGCGAAGACCGCAGGCCGGGGTTGGAGTATTTTTACTCCAACGGGGCCAGCGAGGTGTCATCCCGCCATGCAGAAACTTGGCTGAAGACCCTGAGGATTTGCTGGGATCCCGAGCCTTCCACGAGACTCACATGCAAAGGCTGGTTGGCGCTGACCAGCAAAGATAGTATGCTCTCAGACGGTCTCTACATTCACGAAAAACATTTTTAACATCTTGGGGGGTTGGACATTTTAAATAATTTCTCATAGACTGGGTGTGAGAAAATTGATTTAATACTTTTTTAAAACGGTATACTTTCCAAAAGAGTTAATTTTACTTGACCGGTACTAAGTGAAGGGATTTTTTCTATTTTGGACTGATGAGTTAAAATGTTGAACAAAAACAGAGGATAAAATACTCGCACACGCACACCATTGGTTAAAGTTCAACTTGGTTAAACCTAGGATCCACTAGTTTTACCCTATACCTAAATCTAAATTTGCTGTTCTGATTATTTTTTTCAAATTAAATTTTTATGGCAACTCGATACAAAATAAAACGGTGTTCATGTTTAACATTTGGCTTAATATGAGAATTGGTCTTTTTCTCTGTTTGATTGGTTTGATAATACGGTTTAAAGACATAGCCGTGCCCGTTTTACCTTTGCAAAACATTAACAAGAATACCACGAAAAATAATAGTAAAAGTAAGTAGACATTTCATTCTGAAAATATGGTGTTCACTTACTTTTTTTTTTGTTTTGTTTTGTTTTATTCACACCCTGAGCTTAACATGAAAGCGCATGTAATTGACCTTGGTAATAATGGTTTGTAAAGCAGTGACGCATTTCTCGTTTAATGAAATTTAAAACAATTAGTATTCTTTGGCTAAGTAAATATTGACATTATTTTGCATCAAATTTCATACAAAAATCAGTTCTGGCTTTTATGTGGTAAGCCGTGATGTTTACGAAAAAGACGGCCGTAGTTGCTAATAGAGAATAAAAGGAACGATTGTTGTCCGCCCGCCCGAACAGGCAAGCTTTGAAAACTACAGTTCATTGGTTTCACATTAAATGCAGAAAGTTGTAAACATTATCCCAAATTGCGAGCAATACAAAGTTATTGTAAGTGATTGTGCGTGAGAAAAATACAACAAAAGAGCCGCTTGGCGTTGTAAGTCGCGTTCATGCCACCTGAGCTGTTCCAAGCATTGATACCACTCCCTTGGCCAAATTTGCAAGACACGTATATTTCAATACCGCGTTTTAACTGGTGTTTTAAAACACTGCAGTAACAGTTCAGATCCTTTCTTGTTCATAGGCCCCCTAAAAGCGCTAAAATCTGGTTTTTAGAATATATATCTGCACACCTTTATAGTCACAGATAAACCTTACATTGAATAACAGAAAGACGTAAATGGAATTTTACTTCAAAAGAATCAAGGAAATAAATCAAACGCCACAATAGCTTGAAATTTTCACGTAAAACAGTTAAGATATGGTTGATTGATTTATGGGACTTTCGCACCGGTCACCAGTCACTACGGCAACAATTACGGGGGTGGCACGCATGCTCCGAAACAGCCCGACTATTTACGCATTCATTTGTAAGGGCCACATTTGTTAACCTAAACAATTTACAATTGTTTGAGTTCAGAACATCAACAAACTGTTGGTAACCACTACATTTTCATTGCGTCTCCTTGCGACGTTTTAGTAGGAAATCGGATGTGAAGGATTTTAATTCTTGATGAGGAAAACCAGATAGTGCTCCCATGTCTATGATCGACACCACATCGCGGGTAAGTACACCAAGTTAAAATAATATTATTATGAATGAAAACAGTGGTGTATGAGGTTATCATTCTAGTAGTGTAACAATAACGTGTTTCGAAAACGTGGTGCTGTATGGCAGTCTGTTATGGTGACGTTGGGTTTTAGCTTGGACCCAATCCATGGTACACTGGATTACGGTTCCGAGGTTTTAGTCTATATTAATGTATATATGAGCCCAATACATAGAGATGTGTCTTAAATGAAGAACTGAACGGCACAGTGAGTGGATTGCATCTTGGGTGGATAGGACTGAATGGGGAGAATGAATATATAATCCCATGTTGTGTTTCCAAGACTCATTTATGGATTCTTTGTATTGTGCGACTTTTTGTGAATTTTGCTGTTGGAACGTTCTCTATAACATATGTGCAGTAATAATAAAGTTAGGTTGGTGTTATGCCATCATTGATGCGATCATTCAGAGATTCAGTGATGAAAACAAGAGAAGTTCGGAAACGAAACGGAAAGTTTGGACACATGTTAATCGTCGAGTGATTTTTTGCCCATTGTGCAGTGACTTATCTGGTCCTCATAATAAGTATTAATGTTATTCAAAGGTGTAATTTTTGTAATCGGTTGGGAATTCGGCAAATAAAACGTCCACATTTTACTATGTCGACAGTCTAACTTTACTTCCCCAGTTTTTGAAATAAAATCCCACAAGATCGGTCAATTCATGAAGACGAGTTTTTAAAAAAATCGTCGAAGCCGACATTTGGTTTGTAATAACAGACTGGGTCCAAGCGTTTTTTGTTTTTTTAACTCTTCGTGCTACCGATAAAATCTCTTGGCCAATGGAACCTACGGGGGTTTTAATGCTGCCGATAAACATAACATGATACGTAACTCCTTTTTGTTTATTATCACGTTTACCATAGAAATGGTGCAAAAGTAGGCCCTGCTCCCGTGGCTGTGGGGGGTTGTTCCTTATCTTTTGAGCAATATTTATAACAAGATTTACAATTCTGCCGTACAAGATAAGGCATAATTATTTAAAAATTACGCCAAGGTTTTAAAGAGATTAGTGAGTGCAAGATATCGAATGAGTGCATTAATTCTCTTATTCGTTTGCGAGGTCTTGAAGTGCGTGTATTGAAATGAAGCATTCAAATCAAATGAAATGAAGAAAATCGAAGATGCGTGATGATAATACAGAAAATCCACATGAAGTGTGTTGTGTAATTCTTTCTTCCACTACTATTCAGACAAAAGTATTTCGATATGACTAGCATTTGATATCGACATTTGAATTCATTAGGGATTTTAATGTTTACAGACATTTCATAAATGAAAGTCTACAGATGATTAACATAGTATGCTCATTTATTGAGCATGTTAGGACATTGGTCACTTTCGTCAATTCACTGTTTTTTTAATGCCTGTAAAATCACTTTTCGTTGTTTAATCATTAACTTTAAATGTTGTTTCTGATGACATATTTTTAGTTTTGGTAAATAATGCGAAATGTAACGATAAATAAATGATATTGAAATGATACTGAATCCGTTATTTTGTTTCAGCTTGCTTTTAGCAAGGATTACCGGTTGCCCAAACCGCAGTACCGATTTGAAGATGCGGGGGACTACAGGCAGCTTATGGTGTCAGCTAGGAAAAGGAATGGTATTTATTTATTTATTTATTTATTTATTTATTTATTTAATCACATTAAATCATTGTCTCTTTTGTTGTATAGTTTCATTTGGTTAAATAATCCAGAAAATATTTCTGTAGCATAGAGACAATAAAACAGAATTCCATGCCAAGTTTTCCTATCGAGTTAAATTAAACGTTATTACAGACAATATTTCTAAAATACATTTTGCTGATTCCAGAGACGGAAGCAATGCGGAAGTTTTGGAAATCGCTGAAAGGATTTAATCTGAAAGGGCGCGATCTCCAGCTAGACATCGTCCCTCGCTACGAGACACCTCATTTCCCCGCTTCGCCTGGACCGCGTTTCTCCAGTTACATTACTACTTACGATCTCCTAGGCCCAACGCCGGCAGAGGGGAGAGCTCAGTCTGCACTTTATCGCAGGTAATGTGTCACGCCTATGTTTTCCAAAGAAATGTTAATCGCTCATATCTGTGACTTGAACTAAATAACATAAAATTTCATGATACATATCATGATTTTCAACCAGACCTCAGTAGTGTTGATCACGTTCACAAATAAGAACATTTTTCCAAAAGAAATAAGCTCCAAAATATTTTGTGTAGGTGTCCTCTGATTTAAAAAAAAAAATATTATGTTTTATTTCAGAAATATCCAAACACCTGTCACTAACATAGCACGTGACTACAGTCAGTTTGCCCGCGCCCCCTCTCGGAACAGGAGACCTCACACAACGTTTAGTGAGAGAGACGCACAGAGTCCTTGGTTCAAAGAAATACGGAAGTGAGTTCTTCACCGTTTGTCTCATTTAAGTTAAGTTAAAATAACTTTGAAATAGTGTAAATGGAATTTTGCACATGCAATATGGGTTTTATTTATGGATTTTTATTTGTTAATTTATTTGTTTGTTTATTTATTTATTTATTTTGCTCTCAAATTATTTGAATGAACATGATTTGGGACTTTGTCAGTCTATCCTACATTACATATTCTGGCTACCATACAGCATAAGAATGAATGGAGTCATCATTTATAACAACAATCTTTATTATAGAGATGTCCCAGAGCGTGTAGCGTACACTATGGACATGGATCCCGATTTCGGCAACGATCGTCTAGCCGCTCTACAACTCCCACCAGCCGTGAAAAGCCGGGAAGTCGTGTATTATCCCGCTGAATATAGTGGTCGCAAAGAATTCCACATTAGTCCCGAATGGAACTCGGAGAGACCGGAGTGGGGCGGTATTGCCAGAGATGGGCACTATCAAAAACGCAATGAAGGGCATTCCCAGCCAAGCACTGGGAATTTGTATGGCGCTTACTATGGCACTGTTGGGCCAGAGAGATACGACTTTGCTCAAAATGCTTGGAAGTAGTTAGGAATTAACATATGTAATGACGGATACATTATTTCTGGACACGTCTTATGAGATTTCTGCCAAAGTCATTTCTAAGACGTTTTCCATTATTTATCTATTTAATTATTTATTTATTTATGTGTATTTGTAAACATGTTCAAGTGTCTACGTGCAAAGAATGTTTTTGCGAAGGTGATAAATGTTATTCTACGCAGAGATAGAGAGAAATCTATATAGTATGTATGAAGTATTTTTTACAGTATTAATTCAAATTTTTATATGACATTGGATAAATCATTAATGTGTTTTATTGATACAAAAACGCATTCCACCACATTGATTATTTTAATATTTGTTTGCGTATTTGATGATAAGGTATATATAATGTGATATTGTTGTTGTTGATATTATTGCTATTTATATTTGGGCTATTTATAACTTGTTGTTTAGTTTTAATCTCCATTGTGTAGTTGGCATTTAATTCAGGTAATCTTGGTTGGCCTCAGGACATTTAAGAAAGGGGGACAAAATAATTTTTTACCACCATCCCTGTATTGATATGTAACGAGAAGTGTATCCTTCAATGGAGATCTGTATGTTTTTGTCAGTCTGTGTTTATTTGTAGCTAATTCCATTTTATATCGAGTACAGCAAAGGTTTGTCAGTCGTAACTTGTAGTGGGGTAGGGCCGGCATTGGAATATTGGAAATAAAAATTGTGCAATTTAGCGCAGTTTAGCTAGTAATTGGAACCTGCTTTTTTAGGC